TTTGCAGTAAAAACAGGTATTCCCTTCTTTGATCCGAAAATTGAGATCAGTGTTTTGCGGTCACTCAGGAGCGCGAAATGTCTTCTATAAAACACCTTGTGGAACCGTTTCATAGCGAAAACGATCGTGAGCGCTTCCTTCTCAACCTTGCCGTAGTTCTTCACAGCCGCCGTTAGTGACCGTGCTGTGTGCATGGTCACACAGCATCATTCTTCTTCTTTCCTCCATTCGGGAAACCATAGGAAGTGACAGATCCAATGTCATTACTGGAAACGTCCGAAACAACGACAGTTTCTAATTTCGGATTGCATCAAAGATTTGTCGGCATTATTTTGTCCATTGCCAAACTTTATCTTCCGTCATTAACTGGTTCAGCGGACTTCGCGTTTGATAAGGGCTTGGTAGGAAAACTCCTTAATTACTCACGAGACCAATGAACAAGCGGAGCTCTGCAACCTCTTTCGAAGTCTCCACTTACTTGTTAGCTTCTAAATTGGCAGGATCCGGGCGCTGGCCATGTTCGTCAATGATATACCCAAGGGATTTGACTCTAATAGCAAATCACATTTTCATCCCCTATTCGGAATCCGGATTTTAGGTGCGAAAGCACTCTTCCGATTGTTGACGTCAACTCTTGCGGATTTGAGCCCATAATCAAAGCATCGTCTAGGGGTACAGCTGTGTTGTGGATGTCATTCAGCACGATTTGTTGGAAAATGTCCAGTGCGGTTTTCACTCCGAAAGCCAGCCGGTTGTACTTGGAAAGTCCGAGGTGCATATTTATTGTCAGCGATAATTTCATTCATCAACAACTGTAACATAAAAGTACGTTTCAGATAGGTTGAGTTTGGTTAAAAAAGTCTCCCGATACGGTTAAGGGGCACTAATGAGTCCTTGACACGTAATACAAGCCTTTTGAAAAATCAGCACAAATACGGACCTTCCTGTTTCTTTTAATTACTACCACGATAGGTGTCCATTCTGAGTAGTGAACACCTTTGATTTTGCTTTCAGCTTACGATGGATTCAGCTCGGCTTCCAAAAACGACTGAGTCACCTATGGCACCGGACGCTTAGCGTTTGAGATCCAGCAACATCGGAGACCAATTGAGACTGTGCTTCGTGGCGTCGTTTCATTTGCAGTTTGACTGAAACATCGGGCTTGATATCAACGGCGGTGATAGCTGGTGGCTGGCTGCTTGAGGAATTTCAACTCATACATCCAATCGAGTCCCAGCAAATCCAAACCCGACTGGTCTGTCATGAAACACATGTAAATTTACTGATCACGGAAGTTGATTTGGCAGTTCACTTTACCAAGTAATTTATACGAACTGAAGCATTCCGTGCCGTATGACCCGTTTGTACAGGTATCGGATGCCTCAGCATGCACCACGTATTCGCGATATCCGAAAACGCATCAAGTTGAAACTTGACTTGTATGCCATTGATTTGCACCATTGTGTATTGGCGCCTGCTGACCCCGTCCAATTTGAAAGTTGAGATGATAGATCTGGTCAAGTTGGGACGTCAGTGATGTGGCATTGTTACGCTTTCTCTTGTTCAACGCATGGTGAACTGCCGAGCAGAACGACTTCTTATGGCCTCTTCTACCGCAATGGTACTTGAATGGACGGTATCGGGCAAAATGCCATTCTCCACCAGACCAACAAACAGAGGTTTTGCTAAACCCTTGAAAGAGTCTGCCATTGTTGACTCGTTCAATGCTAGTTTATCAGTACTCGTGCCCCTGTGGTGTACGATACGTGGGTCGTACAACGAGACGTCTATCACAGAGGATTCACGAGCACATCCCGGCATGTTTTTAAAAAGCGAAATGAGGTTCTCAGATGGCTCAGTCATGTCGCACCTCCTCGAATGTGGCCATACTGCATCTGAGAATGACTTCCTAGTTGTCTACTCACTATCGGAACGCTTCTCGCAAGAATTCCGAAATCAGATCTTGTCTATTGCCGAGGCTATCTACATCCACCATCTGAAACCGGAATTATGTGTACATTATCGATTCATACGGCCGTGGCCAACTGACATTGTTACTTATCCCTTTGTAACCTTATCTGGTTACCTTTGACTGCTGAGGCTTGTGTATTAATGTTCCCTTGATGCACTTTTCTTGCCATCTGTAACCGCTTTTAGTCATCGATTTTGATCGTTTAGACACCTCAGAAATCAATTCCAGCCCGATTTGACTCTTACCCCACACACAGCGGTATGTAAACATTTGGGTCCGGCAAGAGTTTACTGAAAAGAATTCTTAACGCCTAACCGATTTCTGGTCTTGAATCATATGAATGCAATATTTGCTTTGCTGAAGAACAGCATTGCCCGTGATTCATTGATGATTTTTAGTCATCGACAGATATATGTACCGGATGTTAACCAGATATATTTGTTCCTCGAATATTTGTGACGAAATTGAAATGAATTTATCAGACGACAATTAAGGGCTCCTTTTCGGCAGGTTGAAATTTATGAACTTTTCATGTTCGACTGTACCCAGCTTCGGTAGCACAATACGAATTTTCTTCATGTCTGAGATGTTGAACAAATCAACCCGGAACATATCTTCATACTTGTGGAACCATGAAGCGAATGTTATACCGGCATTAGCATCATAATGAAATTCACTGACTTGCCGAATCAAGGTTTCCGGAAAGCTGACAATTTCACTTTGCCTACCCTTGAGCTTGACTGTGGAGACAGCTTCTGTGTCAGCATCTCAGTCAGCTTGGCTTGCGATTTTTCAAATATATCTGCTGTTTCTGCAAGAATGCCTTCAAGTGTTCAAAACTGATTGCCGTTTTAGTTTGGTTAAAAATCTCTGTCGCCATTGTTGAAACGCTCTGCTGTCCGTCTTGTGCGCCGTCTAACTCAGCCGGAGAAAACAGAAGGCATTATATTAAGGACAGTGCACGGTTAAATTTATAGGTCACACGTCCTCATTCCCGACTGTAGGTTGCCGGGCCGATTGAAGTAACTTGTCTACTCACGTGCTCGCAGTCTCCAGTGTTTGGCTGCAGTCCCGCTCACGTCTGCGCCATAGCAGCCCGTGCCATGATGACGAACGGACTTCGTCAGCTGTCCTGAACCACGTAGCAACCTGTGTCGTACATTGTGAACTGATTTCATTAGCTTTCCGCGTGGCCTGCCGTAGGCCTACTTCGTGTCTCGAAATCGTGTCACAGCGTTCGTCCTTAGCTGCCGTCTAACAATTCTGGAATATTGAGGCAGTACAGTCAGCACAAATTGATGTTACTTGGTATCTTTCGGCATTCCAGGGGTAGTGGCTGACATAATCGATGATGTGCCGCAGGAATCCGGTGGGACTTCGTTTCAGTCCTTAGTTTCCGACCCTGTGAAGGATATGGTGTTGGCTGAAACCGGGGGCAAAGGGAATCGATGCGGTACCCATAGACCAGAGCTCAATCAGTCGAACACCGATCACGCACGACTGGTTCGGCCCAGCACCACGCCTTCGGAAAGCCGATTGGTCGGCCTTATGGCTGTTTTACGTCTGAGTCCATGTTAGCGACACGCTCAACTATGGTCAACCGAATAGACGAATGACCAATCAGACGCTACTGATGAGAACTGATCACACGGAACGCACCCGGTCCAGCGCAAGGAAAAGCAGCACGCTTTCGCGAAGCGGATTGGTCGGCCTTATTGCGAGTGGGTGGCATGCGCCTGAGTCCATCTTAGAAACGCGGCCGTGGCAGATAACCAGTCGTTAAATCATCGACTAAGTTGGCGGGTAATCGATCAGACGCCATCGTGCAATCTATCCGTGATAACAACAGCCAGGCCCAACGTAACCATGCGGTAACCGTGAATCGGCCAGTATGGAGAACGAGTACCAACCATTGGGATGTAGCTGACGTCACAGGACATTCAGTGAATGGACAAGAGCGAAATGCCGTATTTACTCTATAAACAACCGCCTATCTTGTTAACGATTTGTGATTGCCTCCTAGATTCCCTTCTTAATTCTCAGGGATCAACTCGACCTGCGGTGCTGCTAATTTTAATTGTGGGCCCGTAGCCTTAAGCATCACAAGCCTGCCTTGTAACTTGAGGGTGCGCGTTCCAGCCTGCGTAGGCGACCCTTGCGACTGATGGTGGTTTCGCAGCAGCGAAATGTCGGTACTGCTTACCGGTGTACTGCTGATGCTTTTCTGTTTGCCTGATCTAACTGAGAATTTGATCAGTAGAATGTAAACCGCTTGTGTTTATGGAACATCTATAGATTTTCTAGGCTACTAGTGTTATTTTACTATGTTACCAGGCGTCCTCATCACTCGGTGTATCGCTTACTAAATAGAGCTGAGCTGCACAATCCGCCCCAACTGAGGCGATTTTAGTATTCACTAGTCCCTCAACCATAGTTGGTCGTACTTCTGGGATAATAAGAGCACAATATTTATCAATGGGATGGACGTTCGTTCCACGTGGAACCAAAGAGAATCTAGTGTAATGTTGTACAGTTGCGCCTGGTTAGTTTTCATTCTGACGAAGTGATTTGTGAGAACACGGAAAATTCGCAGTGGGTATCGTAGATTAATGTTTCAATGACTACAACAGCGGTGGAATTTGAAGCTCCTCATTCGATGCGATAGCTGTTACCATTTCTTGGTGCAATGTTCGAACCTGTCCATGTGCATACCTTAGGGATTCTCTCCTGTTTCCGATATCGAGCAGGTAAAATCCTTAGCTACTGATGTGTAGGGACTGCTGCGTAAACAAGGAAAACATCACGGATCGCGGACTAGTGAAATTTTTCTAAGCAATTTAGACGGAGAATTCTTGCTGACTGGCGATGATTTTATTGAATATTGGGGCAAACAGTCATTGATTGCTTCAGGCCATGAGGTTACTTACCTCACTACCGGTTTAGTATCAAAGTTCTCAAGGTTATGATTTGACCTCATTTGTTTTCGTACCGCACACGCAGATCACTTTCCTCCCCCACTTTTCTCTAGCAATCGTCACGGTTTAACGATTGTACCTATCGTTGTTGGCTCGTTATCACCTGGTCGTGAAGTTGTGTACGGCAATCTTCTTGCACCTTACCTAGCTGATTCAAGCAATTTGTTTGTCATATCGTCTGACTTCTGCCACTGGGGTAAGTTCTGATATCTTTCTTCATGTATCGCTGCATTTGCTCGGTCTAGTAACCTAAGATCACTCCAACCATTCTGCTGAACACGGCATCAGCGGTAGGATCAATCCAATCTCATCTTTAGATTCTAATCCTGGCTCGTAAACCCTTCTTTGATCGCTGCTGAAAGTGTGGAGAGTTGCAACTAGTCGCTTTTGGCCTAATACGAGTCACAGGCCACATAACCCAACTTCTTTCCAACTTACTGACAACTTGTCGATTGCCTCCACACTTTCCACGTGTTTCATCCATAGATCCTTGATTGTAGTTCACCGGCACCGACAACGGCCGGGGCTATCTGTGGTATGGACCGCGATATTCTTTACTAACAATCAGTTCACAAACCTCGCACTTCAACATGAAAAGAAATATTTTTTCCGCTATAAAACATTTCCACTAACCTCTCATTATTTCGCTTTTGATTTATGGGACTCTGATCTCTCGTTTAACCAGAAACCTCACTCAACCGGCATCTTCTGAATTTCGTGGTCCTCATCAGCATTTCCATAATGTTTCTCTGCTCCGCCATCACTTGTTGTTATGTTATTATTATTGTTCTTATTATTATGTTGCCTGCCTTCGGTGCGGCCGTCTCAGAGTATGCTGAACATGTGCTTCGGGTGATTCCAACTGATGAGTATCTGCAGGAAGCAACTGCCAACTTGCCAATTCGCGATGCACTTTAGCTCACTGGATCCATATGTGACTGCGTATTCTGAAACCAAACAATAGTTTAGAAACCATGCCTGCCTTAAAAAAACCTGCCAGACACGCGACCTAGGACATTTAGAGTACCATAAATTAGCCAGCATCTAGTTGTCTCACACCATATTTAACTTACAATTTCTGTGCTATCTTAGATGATTGATTCGCCAACTAATTCATGATCAACAGCAATGTTACTTGGATGCGACAGTGCTCCATTTGCTTGTAGCTGATACGCCAGCATATGAAGTTTCGGTCGTAGTATTATTCACCACAGCGATCATTTTAGTCCAATGCGTCACAAATTGCTCTCATTCGTTCGTGCAAACTTTCACGTTTTCGCTAGTACTATCACATGTCGGTCATCGGTCACTCCATCGCCACAGCCCGATTTTCTCTCTACGGACTCGAATCTTCTTTACTCCTATCGTTTTTTACGATTTGCCACTTGGGTGATCTTGTGTGTTTGCTTAGTGCACCCGAAATGATATGTACACAGTTCTACTTCAGGTGACATTCTACCCTCTTGCTAATTGTGACATTAGTTAACTAGTCAACTTCCTCGTGCTGCCAGCTGACCGGTTCTGGCATTTCCCGTTCCGGCGAATGGTTCGGCGGCAGTGTTTCAGGACCTGGTGGGTTTACGCTTGACAAGCGTTCACCCTATAAAAGCCATATATACCCGTTTAACAACACTGTGACATAGCGGATGTGACTCGCCATTAAATAAAGTCACTGCCCCTTGTCTTCTTGGAGACATTGTATACCAGTAAGCAATCCGAGCATTGGATTCTGTCTTTGACTTCGGGAGTGTTGAGTGCCTAGTATGGATTTTCGTCATCCGAAAGGCGTATGAACTGAATGTTCAGTTACCGGCTCCCACCGAATGCGAAACCCTTACTTCGCCCTGCTGCCTTGTGGATCAGGCCTTTCTGCCAAAGGCTCAAGGCGGTGGTCCCCCAAGTCAACCCACGTACTTCGACCTAGGCAACCGGGTAGTATCTCGCCAACTGATGTAGATGACAGATTATCCATAATTAGCTTGTTGCTATATATATATATATATATATATATATATATATATATATATATATATTCTTGTTAATGGGCATGTCACTGGTTTCTGCCCAGTCTCCTCAGCAATTTTAATTTTCTCTCTGTGGTTCGCAACACTTAGGTCGCCGCTTCCAGTACACCTACTACGATAGACAGAAAGGTGAAATCTGGAAGTCTATTCAGGCGTTGGATGAAGAAGTAAGTCGGTTTTATGAGTCACTGCGCATTGTCCGTATCGGACCATATGATGTCCTGACGTTCCCTAAACCTTTTGCTCTTACAATGTGTGCTGCCGAATGAACTGTGGAAGACGCGATTTGTCTGGCTTTTTATCATCCCTATTGTCCAGTACACTAGGCTTATTTACACGTTTGTATTTTTGTTAATTCACAGTTAAGAGTAAGGAAAAGTAAGCACTAAGTGTCCCCGCATTATCGCTTTCTTAAGAATAATGATGATGTTAAAGTCTTTGCACTAAACTGAGACTGATTAATTAGCCAAAAACACACGCATCGAGAATGCTTAAAAAATTCAGTACGCTAAATTCGCTCTTAGATGAATCTGGGTGTGGACGGTTATATTCTTCATTGCGGTAGTAGTGTTCATTTTCAATTCCATTCCACGACCGAGCGCCTACGACTACCAGACTAGATGAATCACGATTTTTGGCTGCTTCATCTAAGGTAAGAATTGGTACGTGCTTTCCGTGCGGTTTATCGTGAACTCTTACATCGACTGTGCGGTAGGTTCTTTGGCCCCACGGCACTGTCGTGATCGAAACGGTTGTTTTCGAGCCGTTTGTATGACACTGTTTCGGCGTCTGGCGGGGTGTAAATATTTTATCCGCGCAGTCCAGTCTGAATTTCACTTTTGGGTTTCCTGAAAACCAGTAAATTTTCATTAATCATCTTTTTTCCTGTTTGTTGTTTTTGCGTTATACCTTCTGTCCCGTTCCTATTCCACTTCCCTCATCGTTGCAGGCAACAGCAACTGAATTCAACGCACCTCGTTGTTCGGATTATTAGTTAACTAAACCGTACTGATGAGCCTGATTATGTTCTGACACATGCGTGTTCCGTGTCAAATCGGAAGTACTCCGTCTATCATAGCCATGAGGACACACTGCCCCATTGGTCCGGCAGGGATAACATGACTCTAGTTTGAAACCCCCCACAGACACTAGAAAACACCGGGATCGTGGCCTCGTCATCACCCGATCCCGATGCATGTCCTATGTCTCGTCTGCACACAAACTCGAGCCTACACTTGTGTACTCGACCACTTCTTTACCCCGGCATTAAAATACCGTCATTTACACAGGCGTGGCATTGACGGTATTGCCTAATATAACAACAAAACGTCGGCTAACAAACCAGTCTGCTCTGGGAAGAGCGAGGTATCTCCGCCCAAATATCAATCTACGAATATTCTTCGTATTTGCCAGTTAACTAAAACTGATGATGTCACCGCAATTGGTGTTGAAGCGTGGCGGTCAGTTCAACGTAGACTTCGGATTCTTGGTGCGTAGAATCAAGTCACGAAAACGTTTTGGTTATTGTGTAAATTATTTGGGGTATTGTAGCTTGTAATAATCATTGGGATCATAGACTCGCTGAATTGCTACTATTCCATGCTAATCAAACCCTATAGCTAAATCTATTGATCACTTCCCCACCTCCGTTACAGGGAATGTCAGCAATCGAACGTTTATCTCCGGCTGATTTTACCAATTACCTTAGCCAATACGGTAACACAATTTGCGGGCGACATCCCATCGGAATTTTTCTCAATTGTGTCGGAGCACTTCAAGAGCGGTCCAATATGACATGTGACTTCAAATTCCTGAAGTATGCGCAGTCAGAGCGATGTCACAGCATGAACGAATCGTCAGTCAGCTACGCGGCGGGCTCATTAATTATTCGTTGACATCTCACCTCTGATCGCGTTTTACTTGAGTATGCTTTTTCAACTAAACGTTTCATGTCCCCACTTAATACACCTGAATGCTTTCTCATTTGTCTATGCTCCATCACTGCGTTAAGCAGCTGTTACCGGTAACTAATTGAGACCATCGGCGACACATGCCATTTTTCGTAGCTCTAATTTTTGGTGACCCACGTAGTAGCGACGTTCTCTTTCTCGGTCCATGTCGGATGGTCGCATAGCCGATTCGCGAACCACACTCCGCTATCACAACAGACTGGGTGACAACCGCATATCTTCGCCATCGACACACAAATAGTACGATCGTCCCAAGTCTGACACCAGCGGATTCTCTCATGATGTTCTTAGACATTCCGACCACTCGCCGACTGCCAAATGTTTTCGCCATGGTTTGTAACATGGCCAACAAGCGCTATAACCAATTGATCGATTAGCTCGAAAACTTTAGGAGTCTAATTCTCTACTGTTAACATTTCGAGATTCTGTGTTCGGTATTCATCCTGTCTCTCAACAGAGAACATGATTAGACGGTGTTCCTCGTAGGCATGTGTCACCTAGGCTGTTATCGCCGCATAGCTTAAGCCGGCATCACGTACAGCCTTGTTTCAAATTTTTCATCATGCATCACACTATAAGCGCAACAAACTGCTTGGACTGTGAAGACTACCTTACTGTTCAACAAACACATTGCTCCAATACAATCCTCTATGAACTGTGGATTAACTGTTCCATTATTTGCCTTCAGCCAAAAACGCACACGTGTATTAACCGACAATCAACGATATATTGTAGAGTGCGCCTAGTTCGAAAGGTAGTGAGCAGGTTTTTTCACTGGTTCATCATTGGTTCACCATTCCGCACAAACTTCAGAGAGCACTGGCCATTGGACCAAATTGTCTACGAGTAACGCACGGGTTGGGGATATCGCGAAGTCGTCCGCGATTCAAACCAGCAACCCCTGGTTGTTCGGTGGATAGGTTAAAAAGCCGCATGGACGTAGTTTGTTGATTCGCGATCAATTTTCGTTTCGGAAATCCGTATCTATGCACAGGAAAGAAAAATCTTCAAGTCGCCTCTCTACCCTGGTCATAGGGCGCCTCAAACTACGACGGCAATAACGCCTCAAATTCAACTCAACTACCGTCACTATACTGCAGCTTTGTCGAATTGGACTAGTATACATTCTAGGTCCACGTAAAATCACTGAAAACAAAAATGCCAGCTAGCGCTCCTTTCTCATTGTCAAGTTCCTCTTAAGCAATGATTCATCTGGTAGGATTGTGATTATAGGATACTGGGTGTACCGCAAGTATTCAAACTTCGAGCTGAGGGCGTTCCGTCTTTCTAGCTCCTTTGACCCGAGGTCATTCGCTTAGTCTCACTAGCACGAAGGAATTACCGGACCTATTTCCAACAAGCACTAAATAGCAATGCTTTTCTGCATGCTGTGAGTACGGGACCACGTGTGGCATACAAGCCACGTACCGATAACATATCACTGCTAACCAACGAATACTTCCAGTGCACGGGTGGTCGCAGTTAGAGGCTATGCTTGCGGAATCAACGCAACGTTTGCGAACGCAGTAATGGATCGCGTAAGATGTCTAGCCTTAGTGCACTTGTAGCAAGTGGATTGTTTGTTTCCAGTCAGTCACTCTTTTGTATCTTTCACCATACCTGTAACACAAAAAGAACGTTTGTTGTTCAGTGACAACCGAGGTTCGACCGCATGGATTACGTTTCAGGGTTGTTGATGTTGTTGTTAAGCCACATATTTTCTTTGCCTCACCAACATACATGTAGCTTCCCAGGTAAGCCTGCTTTGGCCTTCCGACAGTACGCGTTCTATGGCCTCGTTGTCGCGAATTCCAACTGGCTGAAATTGAGTAACCATGTCCTCTTCAAATTTCGTGGACAGAATCTCCTCATAACAGCAATCAGGCAGGGACTGTTGTATGCAGGTTATAAATTCGTTAACATCTTTCTGCCATAGTTGGGAAAATTTTAGTCGTGCAGTATACACATGCTGTTGTAAGCCTCAAACAGGTTTCAGACAGTCCAACATGGAAATGTTTTCGTACAACCGTAGTGAATCAAAATGCGTCTGCGCCCATGCGTTGTTTCAACAGTTGAACATATTCATGCTCAGTAGTAGTCAGATGAGGATTTGTAACCCTGAAGAGTTCAAGAGAGTCACAGAAAGCTCGCTTCCATCGAGTCCAAACTGCAAGGGATGGCTAGGAATGCGTTTATTTCCAAAAAGCGGTCAGGTGGAGTGAAGTGGTTTATGATGAATACATCCGACTATAAACTCCCTCGTTAGCATCTACGCGTGTGGAACTAATTCATGATTTGTGAACGCTGTATTGGCTCATAGCCGAAACGACGCAAAGACAACAGAACACATCGAGCTGGTAGCACGCAACGTGTGTCGTAACAATAACCATGTACTGGGCATCGAGCACGTTGAGTGGGTGAGCGATAAACAGAGTTTCACGCGAACATGTATGGACATGTCAATGATGGGTGCCTGGGCATCTGGCTAGTGATGGTGATTCGTACGCCACGTTCCTGTTCCCAATAATTTGCACTCCCCAGGTAGCCTGGTGACGATCAACGGGACGGCGTACTCTAGCTGAGTGGCAAATATGTTGGGCTCTCGGCTGGCTTGGGTTCTGTGTGCCTTCCACAACTACTGACTAAATGGATGTGGGTGACGAAGTCTCGTTGATTGAAACAGATGTGGTACATGTGACGAGTAACCACCCTGCTGTGCGGCAACGCGACAGCTTTTGGTTGTCAATTTCGGTTCATGGGGCGGCTTAACGTAAACCGGCTCACCTTCACAGTTATCGATCCGATACCCTTCGACCGTACCACTTTACATTTCTATTTCCGGACCTTGACCCATAGTCTCTGAAAAGAAAAGGATTAACCGCGCCCTCCGCTTTCGGCCCGAAATCAGCTCGCATGAACTCTTGCCTGTCATTTCACTCAGTGTGCAGCGGTAAGCGAATAGAAATTTATCCAACCTCGTTCGCAGTAGAGCGGGTGATTGTTACCATAATCCGTTTTTACTGTCTGGACTGCTCTTTCTCATAGTTCCTTTGTTGCTAGGTGATAAGGGGCGGTTTTCACATGTCTGGTGCGGTTATTCTGGAGAAATTATTGAGACTGCTAACTAGTGAATACAGTCGTTTGTCGCTAATGTCTGTGTTATACCGAGTGCACTAAAACATATTCGAATATACGAAGTGGTTGTCTCCCAAATGTCGTCACTGGAAATACTACAGTCCGTTTGGAATCGACATCAGTTACAGGAAGAAACATCTTCCCATCAAACAGACCGAAGTAGTCTGCATGTATACACTACCATGGCTTGTCGGGCTATTTCCATGAAATCAGTGGCACTGACGGGGCGTTTGTTTGTGTACTCTGGCATATTTCACAGTTTCTGATCAACTTTTTTATGTTGCCATCAATGCCGGGCCACCACGCGAGCCCTTTCATTTCGGCGATCCCTGTGTGATCTTTAGACAGTTCCTCAATCACACATTGTCGCGACCGAGGCGGTATAACAGCTTCTGACCCCCACATGAGGCAGACATCCTCGACGCCTATTTCTTTATGCCAGGTGTGGTTGGGCAACAATTCCGGGTCACATTTATCGGGCCGTAATTGGAAAACCAAACGTTTAACTCTGCAAAGGAGTATATCACGTTCTGTCTCACGGCGGATGCCCGCGTTCAACACCGGTTTCCAGGTTGAGGCATTCGCAATCCTGTTTGTATTTTAGGGATATAAGTGATTGTGGAAGGCATTAAGGCCCAACGTTGAATTCAGGGAGATGAAATCTGGTTGATACCGTTGTGTCCACAAATCGAGGCTAATAGGGGTTTATGATCTGTAAGGATTTTGAAACTTCTTCCTTCTAAAGACTGGTGCATTTTCTTAACGCCGAACATAACTCCCAACGCCACATTTTCTTGTTTTGCGCAGTTCTTTGCTGATGCTGAGCTCTTCGAGGCAAGAGCGATGGGTTCCTTGATCTCATATTCCATCTTGTTGGATAATACGGCGCCGATCTCTAGTGGTGAGGCGTCGCATCGGGTCAAAATGTACTAGTCGATTAACCATCAATGGCTCCCTTGAGAGCATTAAAGCCCTTTTAGGCGACCACTCCCACTTGACGTTTTTTCGAAGTAAGGTGTACAGAGGTGCGATGATGGTGGTCAAGTCAAGTAGGGAATGACTAGTGTGTCCCCATGGCAGGAAAAGACTGAAGATCACTTGTATTACATAGTATGGGAGAGACAAGAATGGACTGGATTTTTTCCCGTAGTGACTGTAAACCCTGTGTATCTAAACGAAATCGAAGATACTGGAAAGCAATTGCGAAAAACGAATTTATATTTCTACAGATTGAGCCCACTGTCATGAACTGTGGTAGCACGAACGGGAAGAGGAAGCCTCTCCGTACAACGAGCAGCCCCGAAGTTCATGAGTCGAAGATAGTTAGACAGATCTTACGTCTCCATGGTCAAGTTCAGTTCCGATGGCGCTTCATTTCAAGATGCATCATTTACGCAGCTCTTCGTTGAATTTTTTCTGAGGAAAAGGAAAATCATCATGTTTTCACCAACACGGTCCCTTTGGTGCGCCACGACCCTAATGCCCGATTCCCTCTGATTACTTGCATCTTGGATGTGGTAGCGGACACTATAATACAACAGACAAGTTGAACGCATGCAACACTTTCCGATAAATAAATGTTGACCTTATATCTGCCCATACATTATTTTTCTCATGAGACTGCACCTATCGTGGCGCGATGGTTTGCGTACCTCCGTGAGCCATTGAGTTGAGTCACACTTTCCAAGTGTACCTTAAGCCACTCATAACGCTTCCCTTGGCTGTCTCTCTTTGTTTTGTTGTTACCCATGTGTGTGGCACTACCAATTGTTCATTGGTCTATACAAAACACGTCAGGAGTCAAAATGAATCAGTTTCACAATCCTTTTTGGAGAGGCCCATGTCCCTACCTTTAAAACCTAGTCACGGGAGAGAACA